CGAGCTTCTGCTGGCCTGCGAGCACATGCACCGGCGCAACGTGGTGCACCGCGACCTCAAGCCCGAGAACATCCTGCTCGACGAGGACATGCACACGCTGATCGCCGACTTCGGGTCTGCCAAGGTGATGACCGCCCACGAAAGGGCGCTGGCCACGGAACACTGTTCGGAGCAGCGGCGCAGTCACTCCGATGACGACGACGAAGACAGCGACCGACTAGACAACGAGGAGGACGAGTACTATGATCGCGATTCGGAGGAGTTGGACGACGGCGAGGGCGACGACGAGCAGCAGCAGGAAGAGATGGACTCTCCGCGTCACCGTCAGAGGCGTTATAACCGTCACCGAAAGGCCAGCTTTGTGGGCACTGCCCAGTATGTTTCACCGGAAGTGCTCCAAAATGGACCAATAACCCCGGCGGCGGACTTGTGGGCACTGGGCTGTATCGTCTACCAGATGATCGCCGGCTTACCGCCATTCCGTGGCAGCAACGATTATGTTATCTTTAAAGAGATCCTTGACTGCGCCGTGGACTTCCCGCAGGGCTTTGATAAGGACGCCGAAGACCTGGTGCGCAAGTTGCTCCGTGTCGACCCGCGTGACCGCCTGGGTGCTCAGGACGAGTTTGGCTACTATGAAAGCATTCGGGCGCACCCATTCTTTGCCGGCATCGACTGGCAGACGCTCCGTCAACAAACCCCTCCTCCTATCTATCCCTACCTACCAGGCGTAAGCCAGGATGAGGACTTCAGGTCCAGCTATACTGTGCCCGGAGACTTGGAGCCGGGCCTGGACGAACGCCAGATATCGCGACTGCTGAGTGCTGAATTGGGCGTTGGCAGCAGTGTGGCCATGCCCGTGAAGCGATCAACCGCAAAGAGTAAGTGTCCATTTCCGTGGTGCCCTAGACGGAGACGTTGACTTATAAATATATATTTTTTTCTTCAGACTCCTTCGACCTGAACGATGCCGAGAAGCTACAGCGTCTCGAGCAACAAAAGACTGACAAGTGGCACGTTTTTGCCGACGGCGAAGTGATCCTCAAGAAGGGGTTTGTTAACAAGCGCAAGGGTCTGTTTGCCCGCAAGCGAATGCTTCTGCTGACCACGGGACCGAGACTCATCTATATCGATCCAGTGCAGATGATCAAAAAGGGCGAGATTCCGTGGAGCCCAGATCTGCGAGCGGAGTACAAAAACTTCAAAATATTTTTTGTCCATACGGTAGGTGGTTTTTTTTTTTTACTTATGGTGGTGTTAAGGATGCACGAGGGGCAACTCGGAAATCCGAGGAAGCATAAGTTTGTTGAACCGATGACATCACAACTAGTGCTAGTGCTTCGTCGACAGTCGCACGCCCACTGAAAAGCAATTTGAGCGTCAGTTTATGCCCCGGGCACGTGTTGGCTATGAAAACAAATTAAATGCGGCATTGAAAACTGCACACGCAAGGCAGATAAAAACTTAAACTTGTCTGGTGAATGAGGTTAAATTTAGCGTTGCGCTCAACTAATTTTTTTTGTTTTGGTTCCATTGCAGCCAAATCGCACCTACTACCTGGATGATCCCGAAGGCTATGCAATCCACTGGTCGGAAGCCATTGAAAGCATGCGCAAGTTAAGCTACGGAGATCCCTCCTCCACATCTGCAGTGTCCTGCTCCAGCGGCAGCAGCAATAGCCTGGCCGTCATCTCAAATTCATCCGCCGCCTCCTCAAGCAATTCGCCCACGGCGCGACGCAGTTCCCCCGCGAACGCTCCTCAAGCTTCGACGGCGTCCGACAATCGGACATTGGGTAGCACCAGAACGGGAACGTCACCAAGCAACAAAACGGCGTCCAAGTAAACGTAGTCCTATTTGTAGCAATGTGAAATTAATTTAGTTGAAATTTAGTGCAAACGAAGCGGTGGTGTAGAAGAGCGGGAATAGAAGTAGAAGTAGCTGATGAAGGGGAACTAATGATCGTGTCTCTAGTGCTATTTATAACCCAATTTCTGTTTTTCGTTTTATATTGTGCTGAGGGCGAAATATATAACACTAACATAAACTAATCTAAATTAAATTACATCTATAACGACTAAGTAAATTCAATTTAAAATTTAAATTAAATATTTATATACAGCATACATAAATACAAATATATTCGTATTTAGTGCGTAGTTAGTCACAATTTAAATGAATTACCGAATTAGGATCGGATCCATATGCAGATCAGACCAGATCGTTGGAAACGGAGGAAAGGTGGCATTCTAGGCTTAAACTTAAACTAATTTCGTGAAGCAAACTAAAAGTCGTATATAAATTTTGAAATACTAGAAAATTGTCTGGAAACTGTAATATACATAATATCTGGAGAAATGGGGTTTTTTGTTTATGTTATCGTGGCAAGAGGATCACGTATGTGTTAATGTAAATTTTGTAAACAGTGTAACTATGTAAAGAACTATGTTAGCTATATATGCGCACGGCGAAACAAAGCCTAAGACGTGAAGAAGGAGATGGGGAAAAAGACGGATAACTATCGATGCCACATAAATAAAAATCGGTGTTTTTCCAGCTTCACGCTCAACTTTTTAGGTAATTCTAATATACAGTTCAACGCTAATTATCATTATTTATCATTGTCATTATTCTTTTCGTTTACCTAATTGCCCTATGAAGAAATGTATAAGACTTGAGCTACTCTAATTGTAACCCTAATGAAAGAACGAATTTTGAATTTGGTTTAATTTTTATTTTGTAAGGGCCGACACTAGAAACTCAGCAGTCGTAGTTCCAATTGTGAAAATGTTGCGGTCGTTGTCTCCACCCGATTCAAATTGAGTGTGTAAAACAAGTCTTATACAAAGTAATGTGTAATAGATGTAAGACAGACTGGGAAAAGTTTCTTAAGCTCTCGCGAATTGTTAAATTTTGTAAACGTCTAAGTTGCGCCCACTACTACTACTATTACTAGAACGCGCCCATCCCCTCCCATATTTACATTTAAGCTATAGCAATTAAGTCATGAGCAGAGGTGTAGAGTAAGGAATCGAAGTTGAAAGAAAGCAAAAAATACATTTTGTACATACATATCGCCTTTGGTCGATATATACATCTAAACATAATTTAATTTTTTTGTTACTTCTAAGTAAATTATTTTTGCTAACCTTAAGTAAATTAAAATTAACGCAATATGCAACAACACACATAAGTATACAATTAATTAAATTAAACGAAAATTACGATTTATTAAAAGATGTCATAGAACGGAGAGCCACTAATAGTGAGAGAAAATAATGTAAAATAAATATTTAAACAAATTTAATATTATCTATATATCAAGTACCAGAACAAGAATGGCAAAAAAGAGAAGCATGTAAAAATAATAAATATATTACAGTTAAAGTACATTGGTCGCAACAAAAAAGATAATCGAGCGAAAGGAACGTATCATAAACAGGAAATATTAAAGAAAAATACAAAAACATTTCAAAGTAACAAAATTACACTCAAATTGGTTTTTATTTCGGTTTGTTTGGTTATTCGAATTGGCAATATCTAACCGATTGGTTATTTGGTGCGCGTATCCCACTATCCAGCGTTGCAAAATGCAACAACTTTCCAATAGGTTTCGATATCTACGTAAGATACTACCACAGAAAACTCATAAAACGACCTGACTATGTTCTACCCTACGCTTGTGCTGCAGTACCTAAAATCGAAGAGGAGAGAGTACAGTGGGCAAGGCTAAGATACAGAAAGACAACTCCTATATTTCTGAAAAACCAAAAAGGGATGGTCCTAACTTAAATAATTGCGCATGCAGTGCGGTTCAAGTCCCGAAGCGATTGCTTGTGTTTTTATCAACTATGGGTAGCCTTAAGGAAATCTATGCATTAATAGAGATAAAACATTTTTTTAAGTAAGAATTTTGAAATCGCCCCAAGTTTAAACATTTTGTAATTTTATATTAACTGAAAAAGGATATGTTTTGATTTTTTTTATTCCGTCTGGGCTCGGTAAACAAACTGCTCATTTACTTAACCTTTTATAGCCCAAAGGAAAAGAGAAAAAAGGGGACTTAACCGAAAGACCTATATAATAGAAAAAGTGCCTAGTTAACCTGTGTAGGATGATTAAAGGAATATTAAAATCATCACATATATTTGATTATAATTAATAAATATTCTACATCTACCAGAGGCAAGTGTATACGAATTTTTTGAGTACGAGTATTTGATACATATATTATTTTATCTTGAAGTTTACTTGTGACTGCAATTAGTTTGTCCTCCATTTTAATTATCTTTCGGACCCTTAATAAATATATACACACACAAACTATGTAAAAAGCGGTGAATAATTACCGTACGGATATGTACATATATGGTGTACTATATAAAAATAAAGTATTTAAATTCCCAAAAAAAAACGATATTCTAACAAAAACCGAAAGCCCAAAAATGTCTTTCTCATTTTGAGAAAAATAAATATTAATAAAGTTTTCGTTTCTTAAATTAAACGTTTTTAAAACCGGAAAACTGCGATTTTGTTATTATTTAATTTAATGTAAAAGGCTGCTTTTTTGTTTCTTTTTTTAATTTTTATATTTGCGTTTAATGGGCTGGTCATATAATGAATAGATTCACTGAATAGTATTAATATTGGATTTGAATGCAACGATGAATTTCTCCGCACTGCAATCCGAATGTCGTTTTGATTGAATTGCGCTGTTTAAAAACTTTCGTTCATATGAATTAACCGCATAAAATATATCAAGTACTGTTTGTTATTTCTAAAATATGATAAGATATTTGTAGAGGACCTGATGGAAAAGAAATAATGTTGTTTGAAATAAAGGAACGAAAAAGCGAAAGAGAGAAGAAAAAGCAAGCTGTTAAGTTTGGAATTCTTTTTGGGCGCCAACTATGAATCGGATAAGCCAAAAACAACAAAAAAGGTGATTTTCGGTTTTGAGAAGGGTCACATAGTTTCCGATAACAATAAAAACTCCCATTTCAAATGGTCACACTTAGTGGGGCGCCAAGAGAAAATATCGATATCGATTCCGAGAGTTCTGATAAAAATTACAAATAAATAAATTACAAAAAGCGAACGATAGAAAATCATGGAAGAAAATGAGCCCAGGGGTGGCGCTATGTGGACATTTAAGCTGGTGGCACCGTACGTGATCGTCGGCTACCTGTGCGGACTCGCGGTGACGCTTGCATGGAACTGGTGGCAGCTGGGACACTTGCTTCTGGGTCTTAACCTCACCTTTGCGATTCCGGTGGCGCTTGCTCTGGCGCCTCTTTACAGCCGGCCCGTGAGGTAAGAACTATATGAAAAAGCGGGAAAAGATTTGTGGCTAACATTACCCCCTACTTGCTGGCCCAGGTGCATTTTGACGCTGGCCGTTCCCTCGCTGTGCAGCTCCCGGGGCAGGGCGTTCCTCATCAGCCTCGCTTTTGTTGTTGCCGCCTTCGGGCCTACGGCCAACATTCTAGCCAATTTGAAGGTGATGCTCCGCAGCCTCGCTTGCGGACAGGAGCTATTGCGTCAGGCGCTTGGTCAGATGTTGGACGTAATACTGGAGCCAGTGAATGCCATCCAGCTGGCGGTGGATCTGTTGCTGCAGGAAGTGCGTCGAGTGCTGAAGCTGGCCATGGTAGTGCTGTTACGCATTCAGGATCACCTGATTGAAATTAGTGAGTATTTTGCATCAAGAAATGCTGCAGTTAACTCGGCTGTTTAATTTTTATAGTTGAAACCCTGAAGAACTGCGCCGCTTGGCTGAAATCTATCGTAGACCTGTGCAACACAGAAATGGGCACTCCCTGGGCACGTTGTAAAATGACTGCTCATCAAGCTATGATCAGGTGTCAGTCAAAAATGGGCATATTCAAAGCCCTCTGTCATGCTACAAAGCTATTTCTGGCCCTCTGCTACCCCGCCAAGATCATCGATGTGTTTTGCAGCGGTTACTGGGATTTCAGCTGGGGTCTCCTTGATAAAATCTTGAAACGTAAGAGTGTATACTACCGGTCGGTACTTTGCTTATTTCGTTGCACGATTCCGTAGGCTACCGCGAATTTGTGCGGCACATCGAGGAAATGTTTGACGCCAACATCACCTTTGAGCATGAATTTTTCTTCGATACAAACTCCTCGAAGAGCCTGGCGGACGTGGGGGAGGAAATTATACAGGATATTAACAAGCGACTGTCGTCGTTTATCTTCTTGAGCAGCTTCGTGGACATTCTCTGCTGGGTCATGGTGGTTACTGTGTTTTTTAAGTACGCAAGAGTTTCACCATCTTACTAATTTAGTGTGGGTGATGCCTAAATTGTTCCCATCAGAGCCACCATCTTCTACCTGCGATACATGCATAGCCGGCAGTTTCAGAATGTGTTCTTGACAAAGATACTAAGTGATATAGACCGGCGGCACGAAAAGCACGGCTACGATCCACTACTACCCCTTCAACATCTTGAAAGGGCAAGGTATATGAAGGTAAGATTTCCCTACGTTTCCTTTACCTTATATAACAAATATTTCATTGCAGCTTACTAGTCTGCGCTTGACTTTGTTTGAGTTTGTGTCCATTGTTGAAAACGCCTGTTTCATGGCCACAACCAGTCTGCAGCTGTTTGCGATCTGCTTCCTGGATTATGGGCTGTTCTGGCTGCTGACCACTATGTCCTTTCATGGCCACCAAGAGACTGGGTTGGAGGTGCCCGCTTACGTCGATCTTGAGATTAAGGGTGGGGGTTTTGTGGCCGACATAATGCGAGGAATAGCTAATGCCTTTCGACCATTGACGCAAAAAAGCGTTCTAGACGTGAATCCCTGCCTTCCGCTGCCCCTGAAACCAGATTATTCAGAGTATCTAATTATATTACTACTCTGTCTGCTCGCTTGGTTGATCCTTTTGGCGGAACCCTATATTTTGCGCACTCGCCATCTCATTATGGCCTACTTCTATCCGAAACGGGCCAAGGAAAGAGGCATGTTTCTGTACAACTTAATTTTCGAAGATAGAAGTAAGAAAGTACACAGCTTTTAAAGTTTTTCTAATGTATTCTCTCCAGCAAGCATTTTTAAGTTTGTTCGCCGCAGAAAGCGTAATGAGTTTAACCACACACGGAATGTTAAGCACACCAGAAACTTTACTTGGCTGAACAATCGATTCTCCTGTTTAATCTGTCGGTGCTCCTGCTGCTCCGCATGTCAGAGCACTGAGAAGTGCACCATATGTGGCCGATCTCTGACTCCGTGAGTAGCTCCAATTGTTAAACGCACTCCGGACTTCAATTGGACGTCCCCTTCTTAGTTCGAATCGTAACCCCTGCGACACTCCTGGATGCAAAGGGGTTTATTGCGGTAAATGCTTTGAAAGGTCTCACAATAAGTGCTGTCTGTGCAATCGACCCGTGGATTATGGTGATTTTTCCGACGTTACTGAAGTGGAGTGAGTAAGAAGCATGTTAAAATCGACTTTTCTAATTGCTTTTGCTTGTGCAGCGACTCTTCGGACTACTCCGAAAAAGAATCTTTTAGCGAAAGACGGTACAGAAAGGCCTGTGGAGGACAACGCTAACAACGATACCCGGATAGCCCAGGAATATTACCTTCAATTAAATACCTGAAACCCGGCTAATTCAAATATATGGTTTTAGGTGAGTTTTACAATGAATATAAGTTTGTGGGGATCTAGCAGTTCTAGCTATATTCACTAGCAGTTACATCATCATCGCCGACATTGCTGGTTTGAGCCGAGCATTTGTCTTCATGTTAGTGCTGTCTGCTGGACGAAACGATTTTTTTTTAATTTGTAAAATTCCTGCCCTTCGCCGACTTTGGGAGTCTTAAACCAGGGACTGCATTGTTTAGCGAGCTTGTGGGCTGCAATTAAATATTAATTAAATACTACAACGACGGCGGGTCTCAAATTGTTTCCCAGCTATTAAGAAAATTGGCTGGCTCAAGGATCGTACCATTGATGATGACATTCATCAATGCTGTAGTGTTTTCTTCTTCGATTTTGTTTTTTTCCTCCTTTGGATCGGAGCTTGTTTGCTTGATCTCGTTCTCCAGGAATGTACGGTGTAATTTTTGGAGCGCGGATGTTAGTGTTTATTTTCGACCCTCGATTTTTGATTCTTGTTAGATCACGGTGTCGTTTATAGGCCGAGTCTGTAACGTGCTGTTGACCATCTCTGGTCTTTTCTTTGATGTCGACTTTCTCTTTATGACTGTTTAATAAATTCTCCCCTTTCCCCCACCTGCGGATTCCATGTGCCACGCTAATGCGAGCACAAGTGTTATTTATTATATAACACCCGTCGACCTCCGCCGATCGCTAGACCCTCTCTATTGACCCCTATCCACTTGACCACCATCGTTGACAGTTAACCACACACACTCGAAGAACAATGGAGCTCATCTCGCCTAAGCTGAGTTACTTTTCGAACTGATTTTTGTGCTCGTAAAGTAAGCCCCGGTCCGATCGAATGATATCAGGTTACCCTGTCATATAGGGGGTAGTTTTGTTTGACATTCGATCGGTCGCCGATCGTTGTGTCTCTTGGATTTCTGAAGTTTACACATTTCATCAGTCTCTTCCAGAGTCGCTTTCGGGCCGACGAACCTTTTATTTGAGAAAACAGTTTCCTATCTAAAAAACAGCTTTTTTGTTTGGGTAGCCAAAGAAGCCAATGCTTTTGAGCTCCATAAGGAGCTCGTGGTCGTTGCCAATTGCCTTAAAGATGGCCTTCTCCAACTCGTCGTATTGAAAGTGGGGCGAAAAGGGCATGTCGTTCAGCGCGTTGAAGAGCGTGTTTCCGCGCTCGTTGCCAATAACCAAAGTGCGACCACAATGGGAAAACCTAGGAATTGGCGAAGGAAATTCTTATTCACTTTGCTATTCATTCTTGAAGGTAATAAATGCTTACCGGGCCACAGTGTTGAAAGAAGAGTCCATCTTGTGTTTGGACATGGGTCTAAGCAAATTACGGCGAAAGTCCCAGATGTTGGCTGTTTCCCGGTTGACCGTCACAATGATCGTAGAGTGGGTGGGGCTCCATTTGGCCCAGTGCACTGGGGTCATCTCGTCCAGCAGTTCAAGGAGAGGTCGCGTTATGCCATCAATCCAAATGCGCACGAACCTGTAGAATAGATACTGTCTTTAGCGACCCTTCATAGGGGCAACTTCTTACCAATCGTTGCCGCAAGTGAGGAAGAGTTTGGGAGACCAAGGCGAGAACTCCATTACGGTGACACCCCCATCGTGACAGCGCAGGACCTCCAAGTACTGGTGCTGATAGTTGATTGAGCACTTGTGGATGCAGCCCTCATCGGTCAGCACATAGTAAATGTCCTTTTGCAGCGGATGTGTGGTGATGCTCAGGCCCTGCGGGTGGCGGTTAGACTCGCAAGGAATACGCGACGATGGGTGGACGAAAATGCCCTCAGGATGCCCCTCGATTCGTTCCAGAATCATTTGTGTAAAACCTAGCAGGAAGGGACTTTTCATAATCCGGAATCGGGTGACGGAGCCATCCTGGGAGAGGCTCAGAAACGGATCGATGTCCGCTTCTTGATTGTCGTCCGAAACTTGTTTGATCCAGCGGATGGCAACCACCGGTGAGGAGCCTGGCGAGGTGCTGCGCTGGGAGACCGCAACGGGTGTGTCCTGCAGACTGCTCACATCCCGCACCTCGACACTGCCGTCGTAAAGACCAATGGCGAGCAAGGATGGCAAGAATGGCGAGAAGCTAATTGCCGTTACCGGCACATCGTAGTAGTATGCGCGCTCCGGCTCACCTGGATTCTTAATGCTCCAAAGAAAAACGCTGCCGGAGGTCGGTACGTGCTGTGAGGAAAAGGAGTACAGTCCGTAGGCTACAGCCAGGATGTCACCATTGCTGCGGCAGATATCTATGTCACTGACGGCCTTGCGCTCGGCTTTGCTAGGCTCCGGTATCAGTCGGAAAAGCAAGTTCATCGAGTAGACGTACTCGGCCTCCGCGTTCCAGCGTTCCACCTCGTCAAAGTTACGGAAGCGTCGTAACCCCGCCTCGTTTGTGTTGCTCGAGAGCGTGCGGCCCATGTACATAATGGCGTTGCGGAACTCGGGGCTCCGGAACAGGCGCTCTATTTGGGCGCTGGCCTTGTCTTTCTCGGCAACGGCATCGTCGTCCTCAAAGGTATCAGCATCCTCCGTCTGAGCGAGGGCCGAGGTCAGGTCCTTTACCGAACTCATAGTGGCTGTTGCGAACTCCTTGGTGATATTGTTTAGCGTGTCGTACATCTCGAAGTTGGAAACGTACGAGCTGACGGTGGCCTTGGTTATGAGGATGGTGTTGACCGCCCTAGTGGTGAAAAGCAGGGTATCCGTCTGGGCGTCATTGTCGGAGCGCCGGCGAATTTTGCCTTTGCCTACTGTCAGATACTCGTAGTTTCGGTTGTCGCGCTCCGCATCATCGCCCTCGGGCGATCCCTTGGCCACCGTCGTTTGCGTCTGGCTGTGAATTTCGAAGAAGTCAGACTTGCGTAGGGTGATCTTTAAAAAGGACTTGGTATACGGCTTTGGCTCGTACGCCTCTTCGAGAGCCTCAACGGTGCTGTACGGTTCCCAGTTAATTGTTTCGTAAAGAATCTAGAGGAGTATAAGGATTCCTGCAGGGATAATACAATACAATAATAATACACTTTTATAAATTTACCCCGTTCATCAGATCGTCAATAGACTGCTTGTTGCCGCCTATTCCGGCCCGAACACTGGACCGCGTCCGGGATCTGGTCGTAGACTTGGCTAGCATTGTAGTGAAGTTCGTCATTTGGTGCATGACATTTAGGTTGTACTTCATGAACTGCTCCACGTAGGTGTCATCTTGGATCGGCTTGGGCGTCATATCAACCTCCTCGCCATCGACATTATCCATAACCTAAAGGCAGGTTGATATTAGTAGTGGTAAAACTTTTTTTCAAATCTTTTGGATTCACCTTTATCTGCGATCGATACTGCAGATGGGCAAGTGTTTCCACATTGTAATAGTGCGTAGTGTCTTTTTTCTTAGCTTTATTCTCGTCAGCTTGTGCCTGAGTGACCACCACAGACTTCTTTTTGAGTTCGTTGTCTATGTTACTGGACTACACGGGAAGGGGTATTGGATGTAAGAAGTGCAATTTAGAACTTCCAGCAGTCACTTACTTTAAAGATACTCCCATATTCTTGGCTAGTGACTGTATTCCTTACTGACGCGGACATGACTTGTATTTTGTTATGTATTCCTCTTGCTCTTGTTTAAATTTTTAAAGTATATTTTGTGATTTGATTATTTTGGGGGGAAAGTTTTCTTTTAATACATTTGTTACAACTTTTTTTCAACAAACATTAGTTTCATGGTGTGCTTAATTTTCTTTAAAGATTCAAAATTTTACTACCGATTGATATGCAAATCTGTTTAGAAAGGTAATATTCTGTAATATTTAAAGTTTGGAAGCTACTAATATGGACATAAATAAAAGTACGGAAACATATTTATGGTAGTTGACATTATAGTCTATTTCCGTTAACAAAAAGGGTCTGTGCTCCTTATCAGGAGCACTCTTGTCCTCTCCGTTCCCGTGTGCGTTCTCCGTCGAGCTTTCCATGCGCCTGCTCGTTAGATAATGCCGAGATAAAGTAGCCAACCAAGCCACCCCCAGTCGGCGAAGGACGACCGGCTGCCTTTTGAAGTTGCATGTGCGAGTTAGTTAGATTTGGAGTCGCCAGCCATGCAAACCTGGTTCACACTCGCGTCCGTATTCGTAATTTTGTTTGGGATGTGTTCCGATATTTAGAGATTCGATTTCGATTCGATGTTGGTCTGCATGTTTTTTAGTTCGCTCCCGATATAAGATAAATTGCGGCAGCAACAGATTTTGAAACGCAACTAACGTAACAAGAGCCATTAATGGAGTGTCAAAGTGAAAACCGAGTACCAGAAAACTCAATTAGTAATGTTGCAACAGACCATACTCCGCCCGAACACCAAACGTCTTCGGTTTTGGCCAAGCACCAGCAGCGGCAGCTGAAACAACCACAACAGCCGACGCAGTACGTCATAAATTCAGTGGCAATGCACGCCAAGGCGACCACGGCGAACTCCATCACGGGCGGCACACTGCACCGGGCAAAAAGTGCACAGGTACGTCCAGAGGGGTTATCTATGGGATGAATAGTATCCAAGGAAGTGGATCGAAGTAAAGAGATTGCGAGGTAGACCTAGTCGACAGGAATTGATATTGATTCTCAAATAATATTGTGTTTGCGCTTTTCTTGCTGACTGCCCACGAGGTGCGCCTAATCGGTTTAGAAACTCTATTCCACATATTTGTTCCTGGATAATCAAAATCATTGAAGATACAACTTAACAATATCTTACTATTTTATTACAATTTTGTTGAATCAAGTGATTCAAGTGATATTGCCAAACTGAGTTGATCTGGATACTATTCGACTCATTTCTCAGAAATATTTACAGTTCTGCAGGTAAAATCTGCTACAGCCAAATTCCTCGAACAGCCCTCTTCCAAACGCCAAAAGCCATTGCGTGGTTCGACGCGAGTGCAAAAACATTTTACTCAGCCGAGATACAGATACATACAGATTGTGGATACGCAGGGTGCGTAA